GAGGGCTCGAGCCCCGCTGACAGGCAAGCTGCTATTTGGTGGAGTCACTTAGCCACACAGAGTCAACCAGAAATGATGGGGCATCTTCGCGTCCCTTTTCTCTCCCAAAGGATTCTGGGAGTGTTGCCGGCGTCAGGACTCCATCGAGGAGAGCGCTTCACTCCGAAAGTAACAAGCAGCGGTGCAGAAGCTCACTCTTTGTCACTGTTCTGTTCAGAGTTTGCTTTCTGCACTGCTGCCGTTCTTCCTTTATCTTTCTCTTCTTCCCGTGGTGGACCTTTCACTCCTCACCCTCCTCTACGTATGTGGAGGGGAACCAGCCCACCTNNNGGGGGGGGGGGGGGGAGAAACGGGAATCAGTATCCACACATAGTCATTTATGCTCTCCCAGCTTCCCACATTAGTGATGTTATACATTGACCAGAATTACTTTTGGCAATCTGAAGTGAAGAGCTGTAGTGACAAAAATAAAAATGTATTTGAAATGCTAATTCTGGGATCAGAATGAATAAGTGAAAATGTGTGATGCTGAGGCCCGATGTTAGGCTTGGAAATTCACAAATGTGTATTAAAAACTCAAAGTTAACAAAAGTGTTTCTAACTATTAGCTATTTAATTGGAGCTTGAGCTAAAACATAAATAATAAAAACAGATTGAGCCTGATTTAAATTTGACACAATGTCATTTTATTCAATTGGATAAGCCAAACAATTTTTGAATAGATTAAATCTTGTGCCAAACTAGACTATTAAAATCCTTATATTAAACTCAGAAGATTTTAGCCGTACATTCCTTAAGTGTTTTTCAATTGGTAAAATCCAGCCTGCTTTTCTCGCCCAGCTGTAGCGATTGTTTTCCTGGTTGAAGGCTCTACGGAGAGTCTAACAGCTCTCGACAGACTCTACATACAGAGGTTAGTTTCCACCGGAGCAGCATCAACACACACATCAGGCTTAGTAAAAGAGAAAAGCTTCTTCATTTACAACAGCTGTTCACAAAAACACTCACGACACAGACACTGAATGCTGCAGCACACACACAAACCAATAAACAAACAAACACAAAGGCGGAATTTGTCACTCAGGCTAACACTCTCCACCAAGCTAAAAACGCAGTGTGAGTAGGAGTCAGTACATATTCCCCGCATCTTGAAACAGGATTTTCTCAACGCTGCATGCCTGATTATGAAGCGCTCTTGGTGTATGCATTTAAGACAAGAGCAGCACATCTACTCTTCAAAGTGATAATGTCGGGAAACACTCATGTTGGAAAGGTGTTCATGACGAGATAAAATAAACAGTCCCTTCCAGGTACCTGTAGACAAGAATACCATCCTCAAAGAACCACTTTAAGCATGAGCTAAAACTGGATGTAAGGCTGTAAATAGTGAATACACCAAATACACATTTTCAAGCTGTTCTGCCTTGACTACATTTCATGAAAAGTAGACATGAATGCAGTGCAGAGCTAGTGCACAACATCTTGTACCTAAAAACATGGGCCTTGTTCAGGGTTTTTAACAAAGTGGTTACCTGCGATTTCATATAAGACCCCAGAAGAAAGAAGATTCTCCTCATTTTGATTGGTGATTGTATCCCATGTTCACATTCCCACTTTAAGGCTGAACCTTACCCGGCCGTTGGCCTCGCCCCTCCACCAGCCGTTGGCTCCCGACTTGGTGTAGATCTTCACCACGTCTCCCTCCTGCAGCGAGAGCTCCCGCGTGTCCCGCGAGCTGAAGTCGTACCGCGCGATCGCCACACCGATCACCTTTGGCGCAAACACTACGAAAGAAACAGAAGACAGTTGGACATTAAAATATGGTAGTTTTTGTTTTAGGTTAAGATGGGTCAAATACATCAGTTTCATCGTCAACACAGGTGCACTACATACAGATACACAAACACATACAGATGGTGAGGGACGACTTTTGTCAATTCACCCAGAAACACCTCTGGCCATCTTTCTTTCTCTCTCTTTCTTATGAAATGTAAAAATATCAGCTAAATTATCTTAATAATGGCAGAAATTCAGCTAATTCATATTGGGTTTACTTTCCAACGTAGCCTAAGTCTTTGACTAAAAGTATATTTGGGCTAAATGACATTACATGACGGCCCCGGAAGGTGTTATTCCATGCTTTTGCCGGTACGAAAATTGGCGAAAAAGCCAGGAGATCTTCCTTCCTCTACACACCATGTAACCGCCAGATGTATTTTTCAGAAAGAGAGATAAAAGAAATGCTGAATGACACTGACTTACATAAACTAATGGAACAGTTCTTATCCTAAGTGCATCATAGTTATATTGTTTCATATTGTTTTGAGGGCTAAAGTTTCACCTGTCACTAGTTTGACGACAGGACTTAATGTACGTTTATAAATGACAGTGTGTTTGTACTACTGCATGTCATTTCATATAAATGACCGAACCACAACAAAAGCGTGGCCCAACGAAGTGCTTGTGTGTTGCACTGCTTTAGTTAAGATGGTCCAGTTGGAGTGCTGACAGCTGTGTGTGTGAGCAGACAGCTGTGTGAGAGGCAGCTGTGGAGAAGGTGAGCTAGTTTCCTCTGCTCCATCCCACCCTTCTGCAGAAACTGTCATGTGAGCAGGACTGGGCTGAGCTGACAGGTGGAAATGGAATGTCAGACCTCCACAACTTGGCCGTGGGGATTGAATATCTAATATAAAGGAGCACTTGTTTGGACACCTCCACCTTTACTTTGACAGACGGAAGCAAACACACAACCAAACTCAACCACATACGCCTCAAACACCACTCCTCTGCCTCACACGCTGATATGTACATGCACACACACACACAGACACACACACACACACACACCAAATAACATGCAATAGTTAAACAGACAGTCCCTATTCTCCTCACAGGATGCCATGTATTGGAGAGAGCTTGTACAGGGAGACAAAGGAAAGTACAACGAGATCGTACGACTCCGGAACGTCGAGACATAAGTGCAATGTAGTGCAGACTTACATAGTCGAAGGATAAGCAGTCGTAAAGTGGAGGAAGATCACCANTGTGAGGGGGGGGGAGGGGGGCAAGGGATGGTAGAAGGAGAGAAAAGCAGAGGAAAAGAAATAAAACATATCTTTTTTAATTCAAACTCTGAGGTATAAAGCATACAGTTTGAAAAAAACAAGATAAAAAGAGCTTTAGCAAGTGGTACGTCATCTCTATATTTCTCTACTTTCCGGTCGCCCTCTGCTTTTGTAACTGTATCCCTCTTCCTGTATTTCCACTGGCAAAGAAGAAAATAAGCTCCAGGCATTGATCTGGTTCCAACAATGTCTGAAAGGTGGCAGCACCCTGCTCTGGGGACAGAACCTCTAACACTAAAGGATCAGGGTTTTAGACTTAGAGATACTTTTTTGGTCCAATTGGTTATGTTGGAATGTCAACATAGCGAGTATGGCGCGAGTACAGTCAAAGGAAAAGGACAGTACAAAGTATAAATAACAAAATGGTTGACTTAATGGATGCAAATTAAGGATTTTGTCCATAAAATGTTAACAAGTATGAATGAAACATCCAAGTCCTGGATTTATTTGTACTATCCAGGCAATGAAAAAGGCATTTCAAATTCCATTAGACAGATGCAAGGAGTCAGAAGAGGATAGGTAATAAGTGGCTCATTAGTATAATGGATGTATTACTGAGTGAGCCTATTGGGACCAGGCCCTGGACCAGAGCCTCTGTATATATTGACTGTAGTCAAACTAAACAAAAAATGGCAAATAGCGATGCGACATGACTACAAAAAAAAAAGAAAAACGACCACAAAGAGAAGCAAAAGAACTACAGTGAGATTCGAAAGTCATAAATAATGCAAAATGAGTGACACAACAAGTGACTACAAAAAGATAAAAAATGACCACAAAGACACACAAAACGACCACAGATGTTTGCTCCAGCACAGGCGTACAATTCAGCCGCTGGGAATTGAAAATGTAATCCCCACAATGGAAGATAAATGCCCAAACTTTATGAAAAATATGCCGCTCCCGACAATACTTCTGAAAAGCTAACTGGCCGGGTTTATTGATATGCTGTAAGGAGAGCAGAGCTCCAGTGGTTTTTAAAATGAATACTAATCAGCACACTGAGAGACAGCTCAGCAACCGCTCATAGTGTCTAGGTACGAGCAATATTAAGAGGGATCAACGTGCACTTCAAATAGCCACCAAAACACCAGCTGCATTTTACATGCCTCATTTTTTGCAGAATCTGATCTGTGGGACACACTGGAATACACAATAAGGGCTGCTTGGCAAATGAAAGAGACTTAGATTCAAGAGCAGTACACACACCAGCAGCCCAGAGTCCACAGTATTTGTCTATGGACACATATTCATTTATATGTTAGGTTTAACATTGTGTTGAGCTGGTTTAGTTAGTGAATTAGTTCAAATCAATCAATCAATCAATCAATCTGTTTTGCCTTTCGAAGCTGTCCAAAAAATAAAGCATAAACATTAATTAGCAGTCTTCCAGCCGTGCTCGAGGAGGATGGAAATCAAAACAAAAGAGTCATTTAGAAGTGAAAGAGAGAAATGAAGTCTGCACACCGGGAGGAGGCTGCCTAGAAGAAGGAGCCCACACCGGAGCAAAACTAATTTGGACTGAAGCTGTCTCTGCTTGTGTCTTGAAGCAGAGTTTGAACAACAGGCTTCTCACAGAACACCCGAACAACTCTGCACAATCTGTTCACATTTCTCCCGCTCGGAACGTGTTCGTCAGCAAGCTGTGACTTTTTTTATTCCTTTTTCCCCATTGCATGCAGCGGCACACAGCGTTCAAATGAAATCTCATCTTGCCACTGATTGCGATAAGACGTACATTTTCCATTTGCCAACTGATGGGCACTGTTGCTTTGCTTGGCTCACACACTGTTTAATACCTTTTCTTCTGGCATGGCTCAACATTTAGCTTGTGAGGGGGNGGGGGGGGGGGGGGGGGATCATGGATGTTTGAGAGGGCAAACAGCACTTCATTGTTCACACCTCTCTTGATGGGTTTTCAAACGAATTCCCACCTGACATTATTAGCCAAGGCGCTAAAAACAGGATAAAAGTGATTCTACACCAATTTATTTTTATGTCTTTTGATTCTTGACTTTCTTTTACTTTTAATTAGTGAAAAAACTGTTTTGTAACAGAAATGTCTGTTCACTCCTGGCACTACTCTGTTTCATGTGTTGCTTCACTTCAAACATCATGTCATTAAAATCTCTTTTCAAAGTCCCACACATCTGTTGCATACAAAACAAACATCTCTCTTATTCAGGCATCTTTTATAACATACATCACCTGACTTCTGAGAGGAGTCAGGTTAGTAAGTGCAATGACAAAGCTGCTCAAATGTGACAGTAAACCACAAGCATAAATAATCATCAATTTGCCCCATTTAATAAAATGTTGGTGACAAGATGATGAGGTGTTGCCAGATGTGTTCATAACAGAACAAACAGAGCATTCTCACAGGAGAGAAATATCATGAATAGCCCACAGATCCACCAGACAGCACAACATCCACAAGGACAACGTTTGCCAAAAACGTCTTGAGACATGTTTGCTAGCAAATTGTAGCCTGTCTGAATTTTAAAGTGTTACTTCACTGAAATTAGAGATGTCCCGATCCGATCACGTGATCGGGGATCGGAGCCGATCATGTGATTTTCAAAAGATCGGAATCGGGAGAAAAAAAATCGGGGATCGGGATTTTTTCTTTTTCTTCTTTTTTTTTTAAATACTTTTTTTTTAAAATGTTATTCAATGTTACAAAACAAAAATGACCATGTTCAAGTCTTAAAGTCATCCTGAGGCCTTAGTTTTGGTTTCAAATTACACAACATCATGTATGTGTTGCTTCTTTGGGGCTTGTTTTCATAGACCTGGTTGCTTATTTCTCTCAAATCTGGCAACAGAGTGGGCAGGGCGCAGTGTCTAATTGTAGCAGTAAGCTAACGAGTACTGAAAGCTTTATTTTGTTTTTATCCAATGCTGCACAACTGAACTGATCCAATGCTGCTGTGAAAGAAAGAAGCTATATCCATGTTGGATAGAATATCCAATTTAAATAAAAAAATAACCTTAAGGGACAACTTGAATGCTTTTTTTCTTTTTTTCCTCTTAATGCATTGCATAAAGATCGGATCGGGAAAAATCGGTATCGGCAAATTGTCAAAATCAAATGATCGGAATCGGATCGGGAGCAAAAAAAGGTGATCGGGACATCCCTAACTGAAATGTAACAATAACTTGATGGTAAGCTACAATTTCAATATCAATAACATTAACTTTGTAGGTAAATTGATTCATGGTTCAATTATCCTTTGTTTTTAGTCAGAAACATGAAATATATTATATAAATGTTTGTTTTTTTGTATTAACCTATGGTATTAACTCATAATGGATGATTATTGATCTACATTCAGTAACACCCACACGGTAGGTAAGACTATAACTCTGATTATAAATGCTTCTGACTATGGTTAGCTCGTTGAAGGGTCTACCCGATTATCTCTCCTTCCTCTGGACGTTTACTGAAGATCACATCGATTTGACTTTCACAGAGTGTTATCAAATCTAATAACATGCTTAGTTGATTCTCCAACCACCCTTTGACAGTTTGGTCAAAAGCGATTAACGTCAAAAGAGTCCAGACTCTTTACCACAAATAGCTACCTAGCACTTTTAAGGCTGTGAAGATGATGCCAATGGAATGGAAGCAGTGTGTGAGAGAAGCTGAAAAGGTGATGGATAAGTAAACAAAACAGGGAGCTGAAGGAGTGATGGGGGGATTCAGAAGAGCCAGTGACAGCAGCATGTTGCAGGTTAAATACAAAAGTATTTACAACAAAAGGAACATGAGTCTTCGTTTTGGAATTTTCAGATTTCAAAGACATGAATCTAGGACATTTCTTCATAATTAAAAATAAGGGAATTGTCACAACATTTCTTGATAAGGAAATGAATCAAGACATGTCTAAATAATTAAACTACATGTTTTAGAGTTGTATTGTTTCTATTCTTAGCTCTACTCACTTTGGCCACTGGAGCGGTTGAGCTGGTGCATAGCAGCGGTCTCCGGTTCCCGGTAAGGGAACTTTAGAGTCGTGTCCAGACTCCTGAAACCTTCTCTCAACGAGTGGTGTTTGTAGTACTCTATCAGCTCCTGGAAACACACACGAACACACATACAGTTAGTCAGCAAATTAATAGATATGCTGGCATTTGACTTTACTGAATGTACATTTTCCCTTGAAAATAAGATAAATTAGCTATGTTAATGTTTTTCAGCTCTCATGACGGAAACGTCCATAACATGTACATGTCAAATAATGAAGAGTCTGCTTGAAAAAATCATGCTACATTATACTGTCTAATGTTATGAAAGCTGATTGAATTAATATACCACTTCATCTGACAGACATTTAGATGTTCTTTCTATTCTATAAAATGCAGTGAAATTATGTTAGGGAATTATTAAAAAGTATTTTTTCCAAACATTACACTCCAAAATGTATGAACAAATCTCGGGTTCAGAGAACACATCGCTGATTTGAAGGAAACCTTCCCAATATGCTCTTGACTTATCTATAATGCTGGAGCCCTGGGGCCGGTATAAACACGTCTCTAATCATGGCTATTTTTGTGCACACTGCAAAAATAAAATTCAGGTTTTGACAAGTCATTAAGCGAACATGATGATTTATTTATGAATTGCAGTGGTGGAATTAAAAATAAAAGAGGCTGAAAGACTCACCAATATGCTCTTGAACTTCTTGTTCTCTGCAATATAGAAGCAGAAGTCCTTGGTCAGGATCTTTATGTGCTTCACGTCGCTGTTGTACCTGTGGGCCATTGAATAAGTTATGAGTCTAATTTCCGTCTCTGATCACAGCCATCGATCGGTGGCTGGCCCCTGGCCCCTGTGGAGCAGGGCCGTCGCTGCAGGGTCCCAAAGGTCTGTGACACGTGAATGATGGCTATTTAGGAGAAAATGTGCACATGTGTGTTTCTGCTCCCACACACCCACACGCTTGTGTAACAGGGTGGCTGATGGGGCTTGTGGTCAGGGTGGGCAGAACTCTGTCTGACATTCACAGTCCTTACTCAGCTGATAAAGGGACTAATGCAGCAGTTAGCTTGTTCCCAATTATCACATTTATAATAATATATGGGATTTTTATTGCGCTTTTCATAATGCTCAAAGATGCTTAAATGTAACCTTTTAAAAATATACTCAAACTTATGTGCATTTCATTTCTTAAAAAAAATACATGGTATTGTAATAAAGTGATAGAAATGTGCATACTGAGATGCCTGCCCAACATTTAAGGAACAATTCAATACCAATCTGATATCTGTCTGTTAAATCTGAATCTACAGCCAGCTGCTGATTAGCCTAGCTTAGCTAAATGAGTGGTGATGGGGCCTTGTTATAAACTGTATAAGTGCTTGACTGTTTTTATACCTTTTGAGAAAGTGTTTCTTGTGTGCTGTGCAAAATACATAATTTGACATATTCAATTGTTGCACTCTTTGAAACAAACAAAATACCTTTAGACAAAGTCAAGCTAGCTTTTGCCTGCTGTTTGCATTGCTAAGCTAAATTAAGCTAACCGTGTTCTGGCTTTAAATGGTGGACATAACATGAGTGCTAACAATGTTACTCTCTTCAATTCAGCATATTCATGTTGATTCCCACAACGTATAACATGTCCTTGATCTATAACACAACACTCTGAAATGTAACACACCATGGCTTACAAAATCTCAAACTAGTTTTCAATGGCAAAACTACATTTTATGTAATAAATACAATGCAACTTCCAAGGTCTGATTTCAAGATTTAATTTTTCTTTCAAGATTTAAAAAGCTATAAAAACACTCATGTGCATGGCAGGAACTATCCAGGAAGCAACCTTTACTGTATGCCTTGGAAATACAGTAAGTTAAAATGCTAGATCTTAATCTGAACAGAACGGGGGTCTCTTAGCTCTTTGGACACATCATAAAAAATTCTCTGCCAGCTCTACTCCGAGAAACCGAGATGGCCATTTCCATTTGTGGCTATTGCTTTTTGAAAGTCGTTCCCACAACGGAGGCTTCTCTTTCCACTCTGCTTCTGTCTTTCACAGGGACGTTTTAATAACCTTGAACAGTCTTACAGCTGTTCAGACAACCCTTCTGTGTGCACACGAGCAATTAAGACTTCAGCGCACGAGAACTTGAAGGGAACTGAAAGCGATACTTTCCAGGGAAGAAAAGGATGCCAAAAGAAGTTGAATGAATTTAAAGGAATGTCTCCGTAGCCCATGGAGAGGAGTGCTGGTGTGCTTTCACTGCCTACAATTTACACTGAGATGAGATACAATGGTAGAGTCACTTAGCATCCCAACCTTCTGAAATGTGCTGGGTTAATTTATCACTACCAAGATTTTAATAACAAACAAATATGATTGTTTTAGTGGGTTGGGAGCTCAAACCATGATAAATACTTTTACATGTGCCTTTATCTGCTCAGGTTCACACACATCATTGTGGTTAACCACAGTCTCAAAGCACATTCACTCAAATCTTGTTGTAAAGCCAGGAGGTCATTAATGTGGTTTGGCTTAAGTCTAGTAGCCGCAGACATGCAGAACAAACATGTTAAAGTGAACTCATAAAATCTAAGGACTGTTGAAAGCTGGACCCAGGACGAGCCTTTAATTATCACTCAATAAAATGTAACATGTCAAATATTCATTCTGTTGTCACCACATACACAATTTTACTAATAAAGTAGTGCTCTTTAAATGTAATCTGTGATTGATGATACAAATGTATTATTTTCTATCATAATAAATCAATGAAACCCATCAATCCAGGTGTAATCAGAGCATATGATGTTTCTTAATTGACTTTATAGAAATATGAGACTTACTTTATACTGATGGCGTACTCTGTGAATTCTCTGCTGCGATGGCGGACCAAGTAGGTGCTGTTGACCCTGTGAAGGAGTTCTGTTCCTGCCTGAAGCCGCTCCATGGGCCCTGCAAACCTGCAACGCAACAGCCAAAAGAAAACAATGAAATCGCTGTCTACATATCATTCACCTTTGAGAGCTTTCAGACTGCAGCTGTTTTGTGAACATACCAAGCTTGAGACGAGTAATCGACAGGCTTCGGGACCTGTAGCAAAAAGAAGAAGTGGAGATGTGTTGTTATTTTCAATAACTCGCACTCATCCAAGCTCAATAAAAGCACACCACTGCAGTAAAGTACTTGGCGCCAGGTCTACAAAATGTTTTCATGCTGATGTTTTGCTCTTATATAATACAGGTGCTTTAACAACCCCAATAAAAAATCGTAATGCGCTCCTTATCTTTATAAAAGTGTAGACATGGTGATTTGTTATCTAGATTTTAGCTCATATCCTGAAGCAGCTGGAAATAGTGTGAATTTCATTTTTTCAAATGCAACATGAAAATCCAGGAGATTTATGAAAGGAGGAACAAAAACAAGCAATAAGTCAGTGAAGACAAAACACGCCATTATTTCTCCCTCTCAGTTTTTCAGTTAAGTTTGCACAATATAAAGTATTGCTTTATCCTTCTAGGACATTGCTCTTGTTCTTATTGATAAAGTGAATTAGACAGTAACCCACTTTTATCTCATAAGACAACACAAGATCCTTGTGCTCAGAACATGAAAGCCAATGGGCTGTTTTTCTTCTCATGCCAGGTTAAATACCTTACCTCGCCCCACAAATCCCAACCATCCTCTCGCCACCGCACTACAAGGAAATACATGTAGCAAACACAAGTTTCTACAACAGTCCCTCATGTAGTTCTAGAAGGAAATGCTGCTTACACATGGGCAAGGCTTCACAGCGTCGCTTGGAAAGAAGCCAACCTCTTTCGTCGCCAGGATTTTGCCCTGAAACCACAGAGATAATTGCGTTACGTACATCTGGCTGACTCCGTCTCCATTATTCAGAAACAATTAGCTTGCAACACAGAGCAGTGTAAATGTACAGCCTAGTTAACTATTGTGGAAATAATGGCTGACAGGAAGAAGGAAAGAGGAGGGTTCCTTATTCCTCCCATGGTGATGACTCGTTTTACTGCCTTGATTTATAAACACCGGGGAGAACTCAGTCTGTATAAATAGGGAGGCTGTAGTGGGTTTCCTCTGACGCTGTGGTTAATGAAGCTGCTTTTGTCCTGTGCACCGACACAACATTTGATTCGTATGTGACAAACATCCAGTCATGGATACCATAGCTGTAAGAATGTGATGCTTAAAAGTCAAGCAAATTAAGAATGTGTGCATATGCATTCTGCTGCTATCTGGCAGATGCACAATAACCTGCAGCATGCAACCACTTTGCATGGTCTCAAATCACTTTTTATATACAATACATGAGTAAGGATATTGAATGCAATGCAAACTTTAGATGTGTAAATAAGCATGATGTAAGATGTTTTTGTTTTTATCTCCTTGCATAATTCGAGTTGTGCATGTCATAAACCACACCTGCAAATTGCAGGAGTGTCCTGCATTAATCTTAATCTAAATCAATTTTTTATGATATGGTTTAAAAATTATCACCACTCAGCCCTCGCTGCTATTTGTGCCAATCTCTTTCTGTTTTATTATTGAGAATTTGTAATACATCTTACATTTTCATTTAGAAATGCTATTTTAATTTACATGACACTCTCCCAATGTTAAGTCTAAGGGCTGAGTCGTTTTTGTAAGGACTTTATGTATTTGTAGCCAGTTGTACTCTCAAGACATTTTATTTTTAACATGTGTTTATGTATGTACTGTGTAGTTTGCAGATCTGTAACCACAGAAACAGCTGGAGCACTAATATGCGGTACGCAAGCTGCCTGTTTAACTGTCAGACTTAATAATGTCATGTTTTTTGGGATTCTACAGGTTATAAAGGAGACATAGGCTTCACCCAGGGGTGTGTTTTCAGACAAAGCCACTTCCAGCTCAGCCCTTTTTTACTGGTTTTGTGGTTGTCTCCTGTCACATCCCTTCTAACTCGGCACATTTTATCAGTCTATGCTGCCTCCTTGCTAACAGTGTGATAATGATTAGAGCTGGTCACACTGACAGAGTAAACAGATGGTTGCTGCTGAATGAAATGAAATTACAGTGATCGATTTTATATTTCCACGCATCCCAAGATGAAGCGAAACGATTATGGTCTGCTGCCTATGAAGGTGATGGATATTGATTTTTTTCTTTAGCTGCCTCTAGTTAAGCGTTTATGCAGGGTTAATTGAAATCTGTTTTGTATTAAGTACTATGAGATTTGTTGGTTTCCTCATTACATGTCTGATTATAATACAATAGTACAGTAGTTAATGTCAATACAATGCCCTTTTCAGGCCTCAGTTAAAATCCCAATTTTATCATTATGACCGCTTTGATTCTGCCTCTGAAACACACACTTAGACACTTCTACACAAAAACGCATCTCATTTCCAGTGTGGCTCAGTTTAACTTCCTCGTAATAAGTGCTCTGCTGTGTGTGTAATTGTCTGCGGGTGTTAACATGTAAAAACTGCAAAACACAGCCGGAATGCTACAGTATTCACCGTTATAAAATGTCCTAAATGAACGTATCTTTAATTTACAAGACACATTAATGACACATTTTGAAAGAGCGGACCATACCAGATGTGAGTTATAGCAAAATATGACTTACTGGTTCCCCTTGTTACAGAATATGATGGTGTTGACAGTAGGAACAAGTTACGATGTATATACAGCAGGTCAGTTTTTTTGTGTTGTTAAATATGTGATTAATTGATCGTGTGAACACTGACCTGCCACCATGGGCTATGGAGGTCGGCGCAGATTAATTCGATGATGTCACCCGTCTGGATGCTGAGTGCCGGACCAGATGTTGGGCTCGGCACCCCAAAGTAGTTCCTGATCACCAGCATCTTGGGCAAACCTGCAGGAAAGATGCAGTCAGTTTCTGCATACTGTTTGCAAAAGCAAACAAATCTGCCTCCCCTAAAAATGTATTTACCAAATCAAACAAAAAACATTCTATTTTAAATAGAAAATGTGTTTACAATGGTTGTTTTATCTTGTGAACTAATTAAATGTCTTAAAGGTGGTAATAGTTTTATACGGAATACTATTTTTTTTATGATCTTATGAATATCTTGAAATAAGGTGAATTTAGTATAACTAAAAGCCAACATTTGAATTAACAAACTATTTTCGTGTGATGACAGTTTAAGTAAATGTCCTTTTTATAAAACGACCTGTATATATCTGAGTAGAGGAGGACAAATGTAAGTCTCTTCACTTTGAATGCCTGGCTGCATGAGACCATATATACCTGTGTGAATATGCAACAATGACCTCAGGCCAAAAAGGGCATGTTTGCTATTCTCAAAGTGTGTCTTTGCTCTACTAAACTATTCATGGCCCCATTAAAGGTGGTAATGAGAGGGAGTATACATATGTACACACACACACAAACACACCCCTTGTCACCAGTGCACTGCCCTTGCAAATCATTTGGACCCATTATCATATTACTGATAAGCAACAGTGCACCGTGATGCATGGCTGGTTATCAGGCTCACAGATAAAAGATAAGCAAGAGTGAGTGGACGCTGTTTACTGCAGGACAATGTATTGAGAATTGGGGAAGATGTATCAAATACATTTTTCTCCATCACGGGTATGTGACAAAAACTTGTTGAATTCATGTATTTAGTTGTTACCATTTCTATCCATTCAAGCTGCATCACTTTTCCTCACCAGCTATATATACTAGTGCAAATACTAAATGAAGCACTCGAGCTGTTATAGATCACATAGTAAGGGTTTGCACTGGCACTTAAAGAAGTGCTTTTTAATAATGCTGAAGTTGTTTGTTGAAATAACCTCAGTCAGCACTATTTGATTTAGTAAAATGGTCAACTTTGATCCTATTATTCACTGAGAAATCACTGAAACATGTCAGTTAAAAAACACCCTCCTATGTTAAACAAATCAACAGTTCATATTTCACATGCTTAATTAAATGCAGTGTTTTGCGATAGTGTTGTGCAGGAATACAATACGAGAAAAAAAAAATTCAAGTGAGAGCATGAAGGAAAGACCGGAGCAAATAAAAGAGACGTCAACAACATTGTATTGAAAGCTAATACATCTATATCAGGCTTTCAGGGTCTGTTCCAGAGCAGCAGCACTGGGGCTGGCAGCATGACATGAATAGGACTTCTAAAGACACAGGGCCGTGGAAAATTGAGTCTTGGGGGCTGAATTGCATTCCTATCCACACAAGGACAAGCAAAGTGTTAGCGCACCTTTGAAAACAGACAAAGAGAGCAGCGTCGAAATATTATGAAATGCCGAGGGCCAGGGCAATCAAACGCCTATTGATTTTAATGCGTCTTCAGTCAGAAATGATTTTCTGCAGCATAATGGATGGAGGGGTGGAAAAATGAGTGTTGAAGCCAGGTTTATGAGAGATTAAAGGCCCTCTGTGAGGTGGAAACACACACACACACACACACACACACACACACACACACACACACACATATGTGCACGCACAGCTCAAAGGATGCTGCATGTTATTCACATTCTACTGGAGGAAGATAGAGAAACAGGAAGCCGCAGGAGGGAGGCATAACATAACAATAGCTATATTTACTGTACACACTTGCTATTTTGTGCATTCTATTTTTGGTTTTATTTAACTTAAACTGTTTACACGAGCATTTCGCACTCAGATTGAGTCTCAGCTGCAATGATAAAATGAGGAAGTAGCCACGGGCTCCCTTCCTCCCGCTGAGCCTGGTTACCTCTGATACCAGGAAAAACAATTATATGACACCATGCCAGTAGCAATTCATGCAAAACTGTTGCCAGGTTGCTGACACACAACCTGATAGAAGGAAGTATTGCATTTCTACTGGTTGATTGTATTTCTACTGGTTCAGCGTGTTTCCACTGTATGTGTGGGTAGTGAAACCCAAAAAGGGAACAAGTGTTTGCACAACCATGGTTAATACGGAATCTAATTACCAGAAGAACAAGAGAAGGATTTGATAGCAATTGTGTGCCTCTCTCTATATCATTATAATAAAAATGTCTTTGTGTTTTGGGTTTATTATTTCAAATACGCTATGTGAAAAAGTCACCTTTGGCATTTTAACTATTTACTTACATCTTTTACACTTAACAATTAATCAGAAAAATAAGCATCAGATTAATCTAAAATTAAATTAAAGGTTTGCAGCCATAAAAGGGGTAATATCTTAAACTAAGATCATTTTAAATAAAGCTGTCCGAAGTGAGAGCCATCCAGGAAAAATGTAATCATTTTTATGAGGTAAATTGATGTTTTCAGAGATGATATCAGCGGAAACTTGCAGCATGCTGATATTTCGTATGAGCACATCAATAGTGGCCTGGCATACATTTCAAAATCTGGATTGGTTTTCTGTCTGTGCACATAAACACTGTCAGTGGACCAAGAGAAAGCTGAGTGTGAGGTGGATTGATATATGGTGTAGTGTTGTGTTCTGGATTCTCACCTGGATCTCTATCTTTGCTCTGAAAAAATACACAAAGAAAGTTACACACTGAGACAGGAACACAAGGACATTCAGACTGAAAAGTTGTTTTTTTCTACTGATCACAGGTCCAGTCTTCATTCTCTCCACACATAAATCACAAGCATGGTGAAAGTATATTCAAACATCTCACTTCATCCAAAGTCAGTGCAACATTCATCCCATCATACCACCTACTGAATCAATTATTAGCTACACTCAGTGAGTTGAATATGTTCAGACACACAGCCTAATGCTACCAATACCTCCATCTACTGATGCACACACAGAATTCATATTTCAACCCAGTCTACTATCTACTCTATACAGGCCACATGAGGCAGTTCTGATATACTTACATATATCTATTTACATATTTAAACCCAAACCACATGCACTGAAGCCACAGGCAAAGAACTGTGTTGCAGCTGAAATATTTCAAAGCTGTGTAGTTCTTCGGGAAAATCCGGATATATTTCATATGATTACTTTTTGATATTTTGGTGATGGTCTAGCTGGCATGTAGCTGTACTTATAAATAAATAGTACTTATGCTTTCCCATCAAGAATGACAGTAAAACATGCTGTATTCATGTGCATGTTTGTGTATTGCAACAAGTTTTTGCGATATAAAATTTGTGTTGAGCATTATTTGTGCACAATCTTAATAAAAAGTACACAAAAATGCACCCCAGTTTTGTGTTTTCGTTGATGATATTGGATCATTGTTGGCTAGAACTGCATTGTGCATGTTAGATTTGCATGCATAATTGTTGTAAGCCTACTCTAATTTCATGCCCGAGCATTGTAGCAGAAAAGCCCACTTTTTATTTAAAAAAACCGCAGAGGCAACTCAGGGTAAATCTGCAAAAATATCTTGTGTCAGGAAGGCTGCAGCGAGTAAAGTCAATTGGAGTCTCCTTGGCAAATAGCTGCAGGAGAGAGCAGTCTTCAAAGTGCAGCAGAGCTTTGGAGAGGAGGCGAACGGCAGACAGACACTACACACACACAGCAGCAGCTCACCTGAGTTCTGACGGAGCCGGGATCTGAAAGAAGTTTGAGAACAGGCATAGTGAATGACGGGTTAGCAGGTGCACGCAAACACTTGCACATACTCGTCGGTACAAGGCAACACTCCCTCATTAGTGGAGGAGGTGGACGCTCGTGTCTGACCGGGGTTCGCTTGTTTTGCTGCGCTGCCACTACCTGACAGCCAGGATAGAGGAGGTAACGAGGCAGTGGGGTGGAGAGGAGGGGGGGGGGGAAGACCTGAGGTTTTTGCTCCACCAGTTTCTTTCATTGGCTCCCTGAGGGACAGGTTACACCCCCTGTACACACACAGACGCACACCTTTGCACACACACACACACGCATAAGAGTATTCCTGTACAAACAGCGCAGTTGCATAAACACACAAATACCTTCACACTTACACACACACTCTAGCAGGCAGAAAGCCACAAATGTATGCACTTTACATGCACTGCCTAAACACACGCACGCACGCACACACACACACACACACACACACACACACACACACACACACACACACACACACACACACACACACACACACACACACACCTCTCGGTAGGCCTGTTGTTCCTTTTGTGAACCTTGACCTGTTACGCAAACACCTCACAGCTGATAACAGAGATAAATTGAAGTAAACAATGGCTTATCTATGACACACACACACACACACACACACACACACACACACACACACACACACACACACACACACACACACACACACCTGTCTACTGTGTTGCTATGATTGTGTGCTTGTGCAGCCCTGCATGTGTATTATATCTGTACACACTGACATTAAGTCGGCTTTCTGAGCATTTGAGTGAAAAAGTTAATTATTTTTGGTCAAATGGACATCAGACAAAGTTGCTGCAAAAAAAAAATCTTGCTATTTTTGTACTTTTAGGACTTCTTAAAGTTATTTTCCTTTACTATGCTGCTAAAGCACTGGTCCTCCTTGGCCTTGCACATTTCCCTGCACCAGCAGAGGGTGGGTCCTGAGTGGAGTAATGAGAGGGGGAATTCAAACCGACACCCCAGTCTTCACCGGCTCTCTGCCCGCCGGTGTTGCCCAGATCTACTCAGGTACCCAGCGTGCCCAGGTGGGCCTGGCCGCGGCGTTATTGCCTCTGCGACCTGCTAGCAGCGTGACAGATGCCGGGGCCAAACGGAGCTGGCAGCTTGCCAAGGGGAATACGGACAAACATGACATTGTGACATGCGGGGTTGTAACAGTAAAACCTGCTCGCTTTAAAAAACATTGTGCAGTGTTTTAGAGCCACTAGAACACAAGCATGCACTTTTAAGAACTGAAAGAGTTTTCACAAACAAAAAGTGTGAATCTAGTTTTTTGTCTTCATGCATTCTCTCACACATTTGCCGAGGACATGCTAAGCTGGTTTCTGAAGGCCTTCCTTTCATTCCACATGTACTGAAGTTTTCCCGCTATTTCTCTCAGAGCTGTCAGGGCTTCTGCTCAGGGAGCTGAGTGACAGATGCACAACAGGGGCATAATAAAAAAGTCAGGAGTTTCATAAAACTCCTCAGTAAAACTACTACTAAGCTGTGGGGAGCGGTGCATGATACACAGTGACATTGCCTTTAAGGTGCTCTGAAGTGTCAAAACCACCCAGCGAAGCGAGGGAGCTGTTGAACGAATATCTGCAATATTGATCTACAACTCGATGACCTTGGTTGGTGGAAATAAAGGCACCTAAAACTTCTTGTTTATTAAGAGCAACCCTAATACCCACAATTCCACTTTTCAGAACATATCTCTGTAGCTATTTTTCACAACTAACCAGTAATACGTATTTTAACAGGTTGTATATGTCCTCTGTCAATATGGTTTTATTACAACATTAAAAGTGCATTTATGTTCAGAGTAATTCAAGTGCTGTCATTTTGTTCTTGATAAAATGTTACCTGATGAATAATCACACTCTAGATGTTCCTGATATGAGGTTGTGCAATAAAGTGATAGAGTTGTATTTGCATGTGTGAAGCAGGAGTGTGTTACCTGTTTTTCCACAGCTGCCAAAGCGGCCCAGGCATTCTTTATGGGCACCTAAACCGCACTTGGAGCACAGGTAGCCCTGGTTAAAGATGCCCCTGCAGACAGACGAACAGGAAAAGTCATCACTTTAATTGCTCCAGGCTGTTCTACCTCAGTAGCACTCGGACATCAGCCAGAAGTTTTAAAAAATCAAACATTGAAACAGGTGTGGTAAGGGAAGCTCTCTCCAATGACTTTCACTTTAAACTATAAAAAAGATCAACAACATGCATCAGCTCATACTTGAAAGAAGATACTGACACTTTTTGTGTAAATGATATGTGCACACACAAGCAGCAGTGTTATGTTTTCATTCACAGGCTTTAAAGGGGCCCTATTCTGCTCATTTTCAGGTTCATATTAGTATTTTGTGTCTCTTCTGTGACATGTTTACATGCTTTAATGTTCAAAAAGCTCTTTATTTGTCTCTCCTGTGCACCTCTTTTCACCCTCTGTCTGAAACCAGAGCCCAGTGTGCTCTGATTGGTTAGCTCTGTTGTGATTGGTCAACCACTTGAGATGTCCCGCTCATTAGATTATCACGTACAATATGTTGGATCTCAAGCCAATAGAAGCGTGAGTGTAACATAACATAGTGTGAAGTTTCATGCAGGGGGGTTAGGGTGAAATAATTTAAAAGGAAATATGTTTAAGACTTTCCTTTCAAATGTAAACTTCTACAAGGTTCCTGGGTATCATGTTTTCTTATTGTCCTTCCAATCACCTCAGCAGATCATGTGCTCTTGTATTTCTTATCATACTGAGTACTAGTATAGTACACAAGATGTCTGATATGAGCTGTTGCTTTTATAAAATAATATCTAACACATCTTAAAATCAAATAATCGCACTTGGCTTGATAGATTATGATTCATGAAGTCATTCGATATTTGATACCTGTTAGATAAGAGGTTACAATTCTATTGTCAAGTTAATACATTGTTAATTAAAAGGCACTTCAAACAAAGGCACAATAGGTCCAATGAATCCTTGTAACACTTCAAATAAAAGACACGTGGCACTTCACATGCCGATTGAGACCTTCCCTGCATTATTCTTGTTTTTTCTTCACACTCTATCCTCAGTAAATGTTGGTGAATTCAGTGTGTGGCTCTCAATAGTCGCAGTGCAATAATCCTGTCCCCTACCCATCCATTGCCTTGAGGAAGTGCTGGAGTGTGACAGACACTTCTCTACCGGTAGGTGAAACCGCTCAATCGTTCTCGCTGTGAGACCGTGGACGCGGACCTCTGGGTGCCGATACCATTCAGCGAATTCAAAGGAAACTTCGCGCAACTAAGGCACATGTGCAGAGGAAGAGAGGAGAATAAGGAAAGTGACGAATAGATTGTAAGGCTGCACAGGAGAGGAAGAGGAGGTGGAGGTCTTTCAAAGGAATCCTGAGAGACAGAAGGGAAGGGGTCTCGTCCCCGGTCTTTACGTTTGACGATAGCTTTGAAGGAGTTATGGGCTGCTTCCAATGTTTGTGTTTGTGCATGTGTGTGAATAACAACTGGCCTCTTACCTCAGCAGCATGTGGCAAGAGTTGCAGGAGGTGATCCTTTCAAAGGTGTGCATGTTGAACTCGTGGAGGTTGTTTGTGGCGTTCTCTGGGCGAATGTTGGATCTAAACGAGACATAACACACAACAAACATTAGGTATTGATTGGTTACGATCTAAGATTGTATTTGCTGAAGAATATTCCAATTAAGTAGGTTATTATGTTAGATGTTTTGTATTAACGCTTATTTAGAATTCTCATAAATATGTACGTATCCTATGCCGGACAACCTAGCATCTACACTCTATAAAATACATGTTTGTGCATATCTGTATTTAGACCTATAGGTCCTACGCATGTGTGTTTGTAATGTTAATCTTAAAACAAAACACCCAATTTAATTTCAGCAAGTCATCGGATGTATTCTATTTATTGCGTGTGGCACGTTTGGATTAAAGAAACACAGTAAAACTAGTGCTAAAGATAATGTCTTACAAATGATCTCATTTTAATAAATTGTTACTTTTTGACGCAATTTTCTTGAATTATTGGAAATGTTTGGATCACACATGTCAGAGAAAATCCTACACAGCCACCACTGGACTCTCAATCTACAAATCTTCTAAAACGAATAATTTTCGATTAGTTTTATAATGGATAGCAGCAACAGAAGAGTTTTGTGAATAGTTTTGATGTATTAATGGAGTCACACTATTGTGCACCTTGCTGTATTTGCATTCTCAAAGTTTTTATATATATATATATATACGTATATATATATAGGCTACCACTTTTCAGACTGACTTCCAGAAAAATTACCTTGCATGAAGTTGAAGTTTAGTTGAGATAAATTGTATGACAGTATCTCATGATAATTTTCCCCAAAAATGCTCTTGTTTATGAATTGAGGTTTCTTCCACTGACACCGGGATTTGAGAGTGATGTGTCGAGAAGAGTTGCATTCACAATGTCAAAAGATCCAGGGGAAAAACAATAAACAAAGCTTTCAAAAGACTAAATGCAATGTTTCTTCCGTTCACCAAAATGGCAAGAGTTGGAATGTCTTAAACGCACCACTGAGTTTAAATGTAGTCTCTGCTCATAACTGTCTTACCATGATGATACAGTACTAAGACTTGCAGAATGAAATAAGAGCATATTGGATGACATTTGGGGTTAATAATTATAACCAGCATTTCAAACTCTGACACTATTGCACTGAACCTACCGACACTGTAGCAGGAGTCCCAGATTAACCCAATGAATGAAGGAAAACACGTTTCTGTGTTTGTTACTTCATTTTTATTACCAACTGTTTTGTTCTTTGATGAAAATGTGAATATTAAAGGAAACAAAACCCCGCAAAAAGGGCCACTTATAATTGCAGGAAACACTGATACTCTTCTTTGAAGTGGGAAGGAGAGAATTGCAAATAGACAGGCAAGGTCTTCCTGACGTGAATATAGAAGTATTCTTGGCCCCTTGGGATATGGATGAATTGATGTGTGTGTGAGAAAGGAAAGACAAAAAGAGTTTGCCTGTAGCACAATTTCATGTTTGTTTCCAATTGAAGAGGTCTTTCTTTTAGTTTTTCTCATTGTTATAATAGATAGACATGATGACACAAGCTTTATATGCACAGGTGCTACTTGTCAACTCAAAATTAACATGTTTTGGGAAGATTGGTAAAAACGTTGTCAAAGAAGAAAGAGAGACCTTCAGGGTGTCATCTCCTCTGTACTGAGACGTATCCATATTGAACGGAAGATTGTTATCAACTAGACATTTTATATTGCTGACAAGAAAGAGGGTCAATTTCATCAAATAATAACACCTAAATATATTGGATAGTGTGCTATAGGATAAACATTGTGACTCACTTTTCTTGACTTTCAGAGTATGACCGCCTTCTTCTAGTTTCACTCTTTCTGAAGCGTTTAAAGATGTACGATGCAACTTTGTCGGACCGCTGAGAGTTAGCCGCGTTAGCCGAGGTTTGAAGGACTTTAAAACCCAGAAATATAATATGACTTCATTTTCAGTCTTCTTCTGACTTTCAAGGATGGGGTGCTCACTCACGGCTGTTTAAAAACCAGTTTCTACTTTCGGTATTTGTCTACCGAACATTTGTCATGCAGTAAACAGGCGGGAGAGAAAACAACCGTTCACAGATCAGCTGTTGAGCATCGCTGTGGGAGAGTGTGATCGTCTGGCAACGCCTTTCTATTCTCGCAGCTCGTTAATTTAGCTCCAAAAGTTAATCAACCAAAGCAGCTGTTTTCACATCACACCACATCTTCCCAATCCTCTTCCATCAGGCCTGTTGCTTTCTTTAGCCACTTAAAAATGATATTTCACAGATCTTTTTTCTTTCTCAGTTGTTAACTAAACTGATGCTAATGGCAATGTATTCCAGCATCTAGCAACAGGTATCTTATGCCTAGCTGACAGAAATGCAGAAAAAGCGGGGGGATGGTGATTTATCACTGGGTTTAAAACATGTGTTATTATTGTCATCCATGTGAAATATAATGCATAGGATGTGTTTTTCTCTAATGAGTGATTTTAAAGAAAAGTCTGTTACTTTGCAATAAAATACTCTTGCCTGCATTCCCAATAACAACACTATCTTTTATGACACACTGTCTGGTGAACTCACACATCCTCAAACCTCACACCTTCAGTTTGTTAAATAGGCTTTCTGTTCAAATGCAGTCTTTGAGGCCGAACCTGTGTAACCCTGACAACACACCGCCATGACATCATCTGGGTTACGTTTTTAAACCTTACAAAGAGATTTCACAGCTCCTAATGGACCTGTTGTACTGGGCATGTAGTATTCTGCTTCACTGTGCAATATGTCTAGTTTTTTCTGGTGCCAATTCCATCAGACAGATTCCTCCACATGTCATCTAATGTCATTCAATTGTAGCTTTATTTCATGGTTTGAAATGAGGGAATGGACCCCCTACTGCAGATTGTTGTTCCCTCCCTCCTTATTCTCTTTCCTCCCCTCTTTGCTCATTAGGCACAGGTGCTCCTGATCACTGATTGGCTCCTCCTTCCGTCAGGTGCTGCTGTCCTCCTTGATGCTCCATACATAAGGAAGGCTGAAGGAGAGAGAATCTGGCTGTCTCTCTGTTGATGCGGTCAGACACTACAGCACTCAGTTGTCCTTTTTGAGTTTGCTCTTTATTTATATTAGTATATTTTGAGGTTCAGGGATCTGGTAGACTTAACTAAGGCTTTATGTCTCAGTTTAGTTCTATGTATTTGCCTTTTGGTTTAGGGGAAGGTCAGGGTCTGACCGCCCCTGGTGTGGCTGGCCCGGACTTCCCTCATTTATCTTTTGTTGTTTTTGGCCAGTCCTCCAGACTCGCGTAGTTTGGTTTGAAAGTAGTTGTAAAAGTATCTCTGGTTTGGCGTCTCAAATGTAACCAACTGAGCCACAACATTTTTTATTTGTCTCGTGGCTGTAACTTAGATCAATCACCAGCAACATTTCAGCAAACAATGCCTAATCTTTACACATCTCCCTGTGGTTTAGATACTCTTCTGTTTTCACACTTTGTCCAGTGTCATATAAATTGTGTTTAAGACTTCAGTTGAAATTCAAATCTAGATAACTTCTCCTGAGGTTATTGTATACCCCATTCAACTTGTCTGGCCTGTATGTGTCAAAGCTGTGAAAGACAGAGGTGGGTACATTAAAAAGATGAGTCTTTTTTGGCTCCAGAAGTGAAATACTATAGTTCTCTCTTGGCACTGGTTTCAGTCAGTTCCGTTGAACTAGATTCCTGTTCAGGATGTGGACTGTTTTTGGCAGTTTAACTACATCTGATGGTCCATTCAAGTGTCTAACCAATAGAGTGAATAGCACTAAATATTATTAAAATACTGCGAAATTAACTTTTTTGTGCATTTTCAGTCGTCTTCTGCTTTTGAAAGTTAGAGTCTAAAAGACGAGATTATAAGTCGCACACAGTGTCGCGTGGCTCACAAATCATCAAGTAGCCAAACTTGAATAACAGGACAAACGGCGTGAGTTTTTTGATGCTGTGACAAAATGCAGCGGGGACAAAGAGTCACACACTTCTGTGACGCAAATACACACTCTCGCAAAAAAAAACAACTCACATGGCCATGCCAAACTGCTCCAGCCACTTCTTCTTCAGCTCTTTGGTCTTGAAGAAGAATTCAAAGCCGCTCTGGCCCTGGTTGTGAGTGAGGTAGAAGCCGTAGGACCACTGCAACAGGAAAGAAAAAACACGCATGTTTCAGACAGAAAATGAGACAACGGCAAATAAATAAATTGAGGGGTTTCAAGTGAAAGACAAACGGAGCAGAAGGGGGCAGGAGCTGAAGGAGACGGGATGCAGGGAGACAGATGGAGACAAAGAGATTCAAAATGAAAGAGGGATGCTTAGGGGAGAGCAAACACAAAAGCTGAAGGGTGGCAGAACTGACAGATAGAGACGAGAGAAGAAGAAGACGAGCATAATGGAGACAGGGAAGAGTGTGAGGTAGCCATGTAACTGCTGGGCATCAGACAGCATGCACGTACCCAAGTAGTGCGAGTGGGCCTGTAATCGGCCGTCATTACCCACTTCAAAGGCTAAATATGAGTCTATTAGCTTCTGTGTCAACACATGCCTCGGCTTTTCAGATGGCATCACTAAACAGATGCTTGTGTGATGCACTTTTTATGGCTCCTATGTGGGGTTTTGAACTTCTAGCACTCATCTCTGAAGGCGAAAAAACATGCCAAGCTCTCAGTGCTGTCAGGCAAGCGCAGAGGCTCATCCTTTCTATTGAAAGAAAAGAGAAAAGGAAAGCATCGCTCTGCAGAGGCATTCCCAGTGGACACCAAGACTTGCGCTCGGCAAATATATCTCTAGCAACCAATTTGTAACAGAAGGTAGAGGTGTTTGTCTCTCAGTTTGGACTTTTTGTTTTCTTGGTATCGCCTTAGAAATGTAAAAGGATCATACTTCCAGACTGATAATGAAAGTAATTCCTTTGATTTTCCTAAAATACAAATAATCCAAACCCTTTCTGAAGTGTTTTACAGTAGGTCAATCTGTCAAAGAGAACAATAAATGTGTTTGGCCACTCGGGGGGCAGCGGAAACATGCATATAACGTTCACATATTATCACCTATTAAGTAAATAACAGCTGAAAATGTTGTCCTTAGTCTATTGTATGCGCAACACTTTTTTAACTGCTGTGTACATCATTCTAGAAACGATTGGACTTGGAGGTTATTTGGTTTTACCTCCAGATGCACGTACATGTGATTATTTTGGTTCTAAGATTATTTTTGCTGCTTTCTTCAGACAGCTACTGTCATCTTTGGCAATTCCACAATCAAGGAAACGGCATCATGTCAGAGGTGAATGACACTGATAGAGCGGAGGTTTCAATACAAAAATAACGTTATACGCCCATATGGGTCTTAGCCTACTAATGTCTGCTATTTACAACATCATTATTCCCCGAATCATTGTTTCCTGGCACGCCTTAGATATCATTATGACTGGCAACGTGTGTGTGTGTGTGTGTGTGTGTGTGTGTGTGTGTGTGTGTGTGTGTGTGTGTGTGTGTGTGTGTGTGTGTGTGTGTGTGTGTGTGTGTGTGTGTGTGTGTGACACGCAGTCAGGCCCAAAGTGAGGTTTAATGATAGGACCATCTGGGAGGAGGCAGGCTGTTCTAGTCTGACACTTTCAGTATTACGCTGGTGAATGAACAAGACAATGTAAAACATGTGCTGGAACAAGCATGTATCAAATTAAAAATTAAATTGAATCTTTTCTGGTTATTATTTTCTTGTTTGTGTTATGAGCTGCAAAGATTCAGCATGTAGTTAATTCTAGCAGCACATTAGGGGATTCGGGGCACAAATGAAAGCAGTGGGGCGTAGATGTTGGTACAGGTGCTTACAGTATAAAATACAGTCAGCTCCATTTTTACTCAACTTTATAAACTGCCGTTTATCTTATAAATTGTTATGGCTGCTCATTATGCTGGAGTATCACTGTTAATTGGTTTGTCAGGAGTCCAACGTGGTTCCTGAGCTTTGCTGACTCAGTCATAAAAAGGCAATAATGGACTCAACAGTGCAAGACTTCCCTCCATTATAGCTTTAGGTGTAATATCAGATGCTTGTTTTGTTCTTTCTATTATACAGAATATTAGAAAGTATGTTCTGCTACTTTCTTTTACTTTTACGTGCTGAATATCAGAGTAACAGTGAAAGCAGAATATACTCGCTACATTGATTGAGCCTTGGGTGAAATGAAATGTAATCAAAAGCTTTTTAGCTGTTATAAATCACTGTACATCACTGCTAAAATGGGTTATTGGTTGGAAAAGGGTCACACACCATAACATAAACAGCTTAATGCTTGAGAAATACTGTATTTTCCTTTATATATCATTGTATATCAGAATAACACCCAATAAACTAAAGCGTTCTTATTCTAGCTACAAACACAATACATTGAGACCTGTGCTTCACACTGTCCTATGCAGTGTGATTTTCTTCCGGGTTATGAATTGTTAACTGTAAAAATAAGCCCTTCGACTGCCAGAAATACTGGGACATTTTGTCATTAGGATTATTTAATACCATCTGTGCGTTCCAATAGCCATACTACCAAACTATTTAGTATGCCAGACTAAGATTTGTTAAGGCCCAATACCTACAGTAGTATGTCAAAAATACAAGGATGTTCTCCGACATTGTCCCAATTGTATGTATGCATTTTGCATTACATATCTTTTTAAAACAGCTGCAGTACATACTAAAACAATCTGTGATTTGGAACATGGCCCATCTTTAATAGCTGGAAGTCCTGTCTTAAGGGTTCAGCAAAACAAGGAAGGAGAAAAAATTGGTGTAGCTTTTGTGCAAATAAATGAAAAACTACCAACAAATGGTGTCTGCTAGCCTGGAAGACATTTTCTTTTCCATTTTACTTCAGTTTTAGATTTAATTGAGGCTAATATTGGTGCATGTCTGAGCTAAACATCCTCCCTGTGGCCTCTCCAAAAAACGACTAGAGTTACTCTCTTGGCATCGAAATGAACATTTTCAAAAAGGCATGAGTTGCTGCCAAGAAAAAGCTGAACATTTGCCCTAAAAACGATCTAATGTGTTTGAGAAACACTGCGCATAGTTAAGTTGATTCTTACAGTGAATATTTCAGACATTCACACAGGTGTAACCACTAACATACATTAGTAGTGGCTGCAATCAATGGCTTACAGCGGTGCTAAATAATACAGAGCCATGAAGACTCGTTGTTACCCAGGAGACAGAGCCATCATTAATCGGGTTAGTTACACCTGTGATTAAAAGTGTCTGAAGTGAACAAATATTATGTGTTACTGTTAACAGCTTCATAGTGTCACCAATAATAAGTATTCTTATTAGGTAAAAATGTCTACTGTAGCAACTATGAATGACTTGCCACACCCTACTCTTTGGATGGGCAGACTAGTCACAATCTTGTCTAAATTTGAACCATATCCGTGTGTGTGCAGACCTTGCGGTTCTCCTTATCCGATGTGGGGTTGTTGGTGATCTTGAAGAGGTGCAGGTCAATCACTTCTTTCATCTCGTAGTTGTCTCCTCGCCGCTTGCAAACGATCACCGCCGCGTCAAACAGAAAGATGTGCCTGCGGATCAAAGAGAATGATGTCGAAGTTTATTCATGTTTTTATGCCCAGTGCATTTAGGGAAAAAAGTGATATCTCAATAATAATAATTATAACTAACTATTCTCTGGTTTATATTTGAGGAATTCTTAAAGGTGCCCTATTGTGCTCATATTCAGAGTTCATATATGTATTGCGTGTCTCTACTGTGACATGTTCCCATGCTTTAATGTTCAAAAAGCTCTTTATTTTTCTAATACTGCCTGTTGACTTCTTTTCACCCTCTGTCTGAAACCAGAGCCCAGTCTGCTCTGATTGGTTAGCTAGCCCGCTCTGTTAGTATTGGTCACCGCTTAGAGATGTACCGGCCCTTAGCCTATCACATACATTTCAGGTGAGAAAGTGCCTCTGAAGGAAACTTTGGGATTTAGCCCCAAATATCATATTTAGATTTTTGATTTTTTTTTGTTTACATATAATTGTAAAGCAATACATGATTGTCACTAAAAGCCTTGTCTCTACATTACAATACAATATAAAAAAATCAATATAAAAAATACATGTATTCATTTATTTGAAATAAAAATTCAAACGTTAGTAGCTATTTAAGGCATAAAAAGACAGAAATCGATATAATGTCTTTCTTTAATAAGAAATGTTTCCTTCTGCCCGTAAAAGTGTCCCCACCAGGCTTTTCTGGATAAGCTCATTTTTAAAACATACGTCATTGCATGCCGGTTTCAGTTGGGACTTTATTATGTCCCGTTGCTCCGATCAGATCGGCTCTCCTCCATTCGTAGATTATTTACGACTTTTGCACTCCATAACAACAACACCGCAAAATCCGGCTTACTTTGACCATGTGTTTTACCAGTTTATCCCTTTGTGAAATTGTTTGCACCTNTAATTTCTTCATACAGCGGGAATCCAAATAAATGAATCCTGAGTCCAATAACCATCAAAGTCACTCCAATAGTGCTCCTTAATTACGCTTTCATCCTCCTTTAACAAAATACTTCACATTCATATAGTTTGTGACAGTAGTTGGAGCATTTTTGAGACTTTTACACTTTAATTACCGCTGTTGCGTGTGTGGGGGGGGGGG